GCCAACAGCAAAGTCTTGCAACAGCCTTCATTCAACAGTAGATCGCAATAGAATGATGTCGAGTCCTGAAGATCAGTTGGCATTGCCCAATAAAGAACAATTATGTTCTAGAGTCAGTTGATCTGACAAACAAAAGCGAAATGTCCGGAAGCAAGAAATGGATTTGGTTCAAAATTTGGCAGGAGGTAACAATTATGGACTTCTCAGCAGCTAGGGTTATATTGAGGAAGATGGGGTAGACGCAAACGACGAATCATAAGCAGTCAACAGACCTGCAAAGCGGCAGACGATGATGAAAGCGGAACGAACAAAGGCAGTTTATGTTTGACTTATGTTTTGCTTCTGAAAGTCCCTTTAGAAGCAAAGCAAAAGAAGGCTAAGCAACTGTTTCTTGCCCAAACGACCAGCAGCAGGTCCAAGGGACGGCGAAGATTAAACGAAAATTAACCTGGTGCAAACAGATGGAAGGAGTCTGTTCCAGACTGCATTTGTCTTTTGCCGAAACTCAGACTCTGCCACAGGATCGGAAACGTTGGAAGCTCTGTCTGACGCGTCTGCCTCCGCGACCCAAAAGGAGAAACGGCCATGGAACATGAAGATGAAGCCCCTTTATGAGATTCTTCGAGACCCTTATAGCCTTAATGCGAAAAAACTGTTTCTTCGCTAAGGTCATAATCATGATGTATATAATATAAGCACATCGCAAGTTGATCAGCAGAATTCAGAACGGTTTGCTTGGCGTCCGACGATGGTCCCTCTTTGTAACAGGATACATAAGATGAATCAAACGTTTTAATAAATCGCTAACTCTCATCACGTGTTGTTCATAAGTGCTTGTAACTCTTGTCGCTGCCTTGAAAGGCTGCAGTCTGTTATAGTCACTGTTAGTTGTGCAGAAGTAACACACCTCGCCAAAAATTCGCGGCATCTGTTCATTTTATTCCTTAGAACGTGTAGTCTTAACGCCAGTTAATTTGTGTGATTGCCATATATTTTTTTTAACATGCTAAGCTAACGATTTGAATGAAAATCATGGAAAACTCAAAATTTCAATACAGTAATATAATATGACAATGACGAACAGAGAAATTAACTGTTTCAACTGTTTCACTGTCAAACTCTCATGTATCCTCAGCAGCAAGTCCAAGTCACTGCTGCCTGTCCAGATTCTGTTTAAATTAGCTATTTTCTGGCATGCAAATTTATATTGATTGTTGCTCTTTTCAGTTTTGACTGTTGCATTATATTTCTTTATACACACTACTGAACTGCTTCCATGTAGTCTGGTTCTGCCCATTATGGCAGTGACATGGTTTTATTAGAGTTTAATTGGCCTGACGGCGGATTGCAATTGTTGTTTGAGCCCGTAGGCCTTGCAGACGGTTTAACTGAAAAACGAAATCACAGAGGAAAGCGTTTTTCAGCAACGCAGGCAAGTAAGTAGATAAATAAATAATTGTAATTCATATTATATCCAAAACATAGAAATAATCAGAACGAATTGCAAGACTGCCACTGCAGCATAACGCAAAATGCGTTGATAATAAAACTACATCAAATTGGGCATTGCTAATTTCAGTCTCTGACGATGCGCAACGAATAAAATACTTCCCATTAAGCTCATTTTAGATTATTTGCTAACATAAGGTGGGATCAATTTGATGCACCGCTGGACACGCGCTTTGCGCCGTTGTCGCAAACAGGATGAATTTTTATTTACGTGGTATGTTGTTCCCGTATGAATATGAACTGCAACGGATCTCGTCAAAAAGGTATCATCGCGAAAATGACATTTCGCTTTTGCAGCGTCTTTCATGCCAATCTCTCCACTCGGTTCGCAAGCGAGGCACTCGGATCAGTGTCATACTCGAGACGTAGTTCTTCCTCACCTCCCTCTCGATGAAACGCTCATAGAAAGCTGTGGACAGTTTCATGTTCTATGTTACCTATGAAGAAAAAACAATCTTGCACCTGAGGCAAGTATACTATTGCATAAATCGGTTCACTCGCCAGAACTTAACAGTGCCTCAGCTTGCTTGGGAAACCCTGATCTTAACACCGTTTGAAAAAAATCTGCAGAATAGTTGAGCCCTAAAAATGACCATGGCTTCAAAATGAATTTGAGGAATATTTAAATGATGTTGAACAAATGTGCGTGTCACATAATCTACAGAAGATGATGGATTAATGCATGAGGAGGTTCAAAATTAAGTCATTCAGACGCATCTGACCTCTGCAGCAGAGAATAGCAGCAGGGAACTTACGAATATGCATGGCTGCATAAAAACAACATAGAACATCGTTGGAATACTGTCAGTGCTTCCATCTGAGAAATTACCCTTCGATTTAAGGAGGTAGGATATTACACTGAGTTGAGGGACAGCAATGGTTCATATAGACGTGATGAAACCATCCAAACCGAGGGGAAAGTTGACTCACTGGAAACGTTTGCTGGAGCAGGGTAGACAAATTTTGTAGGCGACAGAATTTTAATGCTAAATCTTGGGGACGCAGTGATTCAGCGGTTATCACAAAGACACATGGCAATCATATTTTCTACGAATAGAAGCAGTGACTACATAAAAGGGTTAAAAACGACCAGATCATGACGGCATTCAGCCTCGTATCTGACACTACGGAAGAAGAAGAAGAAGAAGAAGAAGAAGAAGAAGAAGGAAAAGGAAGGAGCAAGAGAGAGAGAAACACGGATGGAAGGAAGACGAAGGAGATAATGATGATGAAGAAAAGGAGGAAATGGAGGGCAAAGTTGCAAATGAGGAAAATGAAGAAACAGGAGACGCAACAGGATAAGCAAGATAATCAGTATCGATAGCGCAGTTCTACGGCTTCCTTACGTCTGAGGCACAAATGCTATTTGAGAAACACTTAAAGAGGTATGATTATGCCGTTGCAATCCTTAGAAATGACGCAGTTCCCCGTTTCCTGTTATCAGCGAAAACAATTTGTGGTAAGAATAGGAAACTTATCATAATTATTGGAATCGAATCTTTTTTGACGGCAAGCTAACTATTCTGACACACCGTCTCTGATGTGAACGGAAGCGCACTCTAAAAGTCGTGAAGGACAAGTCTGGACACCCTCTTACCGAGGATGAGGACATTCTTCTGGAAGAAGAGAGTACTCTGAGGAGGTCCGTAACCCCAAGCAACCGCAGGAAGACTCGCCTGTAGAGCAGCACGGAACGGCTATGACCATTTCTGTAGATATAATCACATGAGCTGTGAAAAACTTCAAATATACGAGGGCTACAGAAATCGATGAAATTCGTTCTGAGATGCTTAAGGCATTGGCCGAACAAGGCATGTGTTGGCCAAAACGCGTCCTTCACTCTGGGATGGCTACCGGAAGGATACCAGCAGATAATAAAACAATGGTGGTAGCACTTCTGCTTACGAAAAGGATTATGTTGACTGCTTTAGTTACTAGGGCATCACCTTCTTGAGTCTCCCGGGAAAGGTCTGAACATGGACTGAACATGGATGTCCCGCGTAACACAATCTGTAGTCAAATTTCGTTATTATCATCTGCTAAATGGCCAATGATATCACAGGATGAGGAAATCTTTGCCCCCGCGACTCGAAAGGAGAAATGGCCATGGAAATTTAACTGAATTTAATAAATTAAGCCTATTTGATATTACTTTTTGCATTGTATCCGGTGCTTAAATGTTTTTGGAATCGCGCATCTGTGCATCTGTACTTTAGTTCTGTTTAAGACTGATCTGGATCTTGATGACTTTTCTGTGATGAGGTAGCTGAAGCTACATCATACTTCGATTTTCATTGTTATGAAAGTTTCGCTTGGAAAGTGAACATCTCCAGTTTCATAATTATTACTAACGCTGATCGTATAAGAAGGTGCTTCAAATTTTTTGTACTCATAATGACTGAGTAAGAAGATTTTGTTTCCTCTAAATGTTTTTCTGAAAAATGGTTGGCTTTCGAAGTATCCCTGAGAAAAGTTTCGTTGCAATGGCCATATATTTTCTCTGTGGCAGGCGTTGCTTTTCAACTTTTTGCACACGTTTGAAAATCGACGTTTGTACTTGACCAATCGGTCCTCTCCCATGGAAGCTGGTAGCCTCAGGACGCCGTTGACATCGTCGCGTCCACAGCGTCATCATCATCATCATCATTGAGCGAACCCTCGGTTCTTTCGAACCATGTGAATGTTTCTGGTATTCGTTCGCTATTAAACGGCACT